TTAATCGCCCCTCTCCCAACATCATATGCTTGTAGTGATTCTCAGTGAAACCCACTATCCAGAATCGCTGTAACACTATTCATAATAATGCATATCATTCTTCCAACAAACCAACAAATTAATGGGGGTGATCTCTTCGCATTTCAGCTGTTTTAATTATTGCAAGGGACTATCAATTCTGATAAACCACGCGAATTCACATTAATTCCGGCAGGATTCACTATAAAGACAGGCCATTTGCTTCGCAAAGACATTTCATCATAAAGGTGTGAATAACTTGGCAATTTTGTAGAAAAAACTTGATAAAGAGTATAAACATACAATTAGAAAAATAGTACTAAAATAAATTTAATATAGTCCTATGCAAAGATAACCCATTAATGAAAAAAAGTTGACAATGTTTGACAATATTTGATAACTAATAAAAAACTGACAATGTTTAATAGTCAGTTTGAAAGAGATAACACCAATTAATTCGGAGAGCAATCGTGGGAAACATCACTGCGGAGAATTATCGGGGGACTGCAGAGAACGATCGATGAAAACATCATTGTTGGTGGGTTTAGTAGGAATGGCGATATACCTTTCTTGTGCAAGTGGATCAACAGCACGGGAATTAATGTTATCAGTTTGGGTTCTCGTCGCGGTGCGACTATCATAATTCGTCATGGACTCAGTTTGGAGACGGTAGCGGTAGGATTTCTCATTTTGTAAATCCAAGTTTTTTTTAATAATGTATCAGTATAGCAGTCGTGAACTTGAAAAAGCTCAGAATGCAGCACTTTTATATATTCTTTTCTCAATAATTCAGATTTGGTTCTTAATTTGTGAGCATTAAACATGTTTTTCGCTCTATATAACGATATGGCAGTATTGTACATTTTCTATGTCCCAAGCACATACATTGTCCCATGACAACGCTGCCGCTAAACTCGGCATGCGTAACCTTTTCCATAATCGATTTTCCTTGTTCCTAGTAATACAATCTCTGATGAATCTCAGATTTGTTGAGATAATATCAAACTATCTAGGGGATTAAGTTCCACTGTAATGAACTGTTGCAAAAATCGTTTTTGCTAACTTCTCAAACGAAGAAATTTAAGATGACAGCGATTACGGATATAACGGCGTATAAACGGCAACGGTAAATTGCTTAATTCTCACTCGCTTATTGTTTCTTCTCGGTGAACTCACCATCCAACGAATTAAGAAAATTTGTGGATAATCCTTTCGTATTTCAGACTTTAAAAGATTTGATGCCTCATAAAGGAATTAAGCACGGAATTATAGGAACAGTGACCGACAATGTAATACAAATATATTTCGTCCATTTTACATGAACACTATAGAAGATGACAACAACTAATGAGGGAAATGAGATTGGTATATGATGCTCACTGCAGACAATGGAGAGCAAAAATAACATCATCAGAAATAACATCATTACGCAAAATTAGTCAGCAAGTCAAGCCATCACAGATGAAGAGAGGTCCAGAAACGAGTCTTTAACTCATGACATCGCCAATATGCAAGCCCGATCATTTCAATAATCATCGTCCATGAACCGAATACAAAGATCCCGTTAAAAGCGAATCTCTTGAAGCTGAGGATTTGAGGATTCGATATTACAAAGCTTAATCCAGTTATACCAAAAAGCCAGCTGAGCAGAAAAAATGTGTATCTCAAATACAGAGGTATAAAAAGTATTGGACACTCAACATGATACAAAAAGAGACGCGTATCATTGCACTCTTGCCTAGTTTGAGCTACAATTTTTTTTGTTAGCTACTCGTGGTTGTGTATTATTGTAAGAAACAACAGTGAATCACATGGGCTTACGAAAAACATTGTATATTTTCGGAAAATAACTTAGTAAACATCAAAGAGAGGAATTATCGCAGCAAAAAAGCTAGGACATACGAATAGTGTGATTTCCGCAGTTGTTGGTTGCTCTCGTCCTGAACATGATTCACAGCCCTCAAGTATTGCGCAATTGGAACAGTGAGTAGAGGAATTGGATGCGGTACCCGTAAATTATTATCGTAATTTGATTAAGTCCATGCCACTCGAGTTCAAGCTGTTCTTGCAGCAAATGGGGTATTTTAATAAAATAAAAAAAATAATAAGTTAGTTATTTTGTAAGAGGTTTTTACAAATGTCCAATAGTTTTTATATTCCTGTATATCAAGAAATTTGGTGCTGGTATCACTATGGAAAAAAATATTGTGAAAAATAGAAGGAATTAACGATTAAAATTGAGTATATAATGAAATTATGCTCCATCTCTCTGTCATCACGTAGGATACCGTATATCTTTGAAAATAAGTTACTCCCCGTTTCTCATCCTAAAATCAGTGCAAATTTCATGTCCAAAAAATAAGCTACTACTCTTTTTTTAGTCAACCTTTTATTATTATATCACATTATCACGTTATTCACAAAACGACTGTATCACAAAGAGTGTCCATAAATTTGTGAACATTTTTTAAATTAGGTAGAATTTAATAATTTAAAACAAAAGTAGATTAAAATGAAATCAGATTATATAACATCAAATCAAAATAAAATTTAAATCTTATTATATGGGATAAAAATTTCAAAGAAGAATTGGAATTAGATTAAAGCATAAAGTATAGTATTAAAAAATCTTTTCACTTTATATAAAAGTTTTCAATTTTACTAATAAATATTTTTTGTATTTACATTAAAATGAAAACAATATCAAATATCGTAATATATATTTTTTTCAGATTTTTCAGATTTAATCTGATCAAGTTATTCTAATTGCATATAAAATTAATAAAAATCTGAAAAAAATATATATTAAATTATGTGATATTATCTTTATTTTAATATAAAAATAAAAAATATTAATCAGTAAAATTAAAAACTTTTATATAAAGAAAAAAATCTGTATTTTATTATATTTATTTAATAAATTTTGATATTAATGCATTATTTTTGATTGTTATTGTATAATTATATAAATATTTCACTTTGTTTTAATTTGATTTTATTTTAATCTATTACATTTATTATAAAAAAATAAAATTTTAAATAATTTAGAAATTTATATTATCAATCAGAAATAATGCAATTTATTAATTAAACATAATAAAATATGTATTTTTCTCTTTATATAAAAGTTTCAATTTTATTAATAAATATTTTTAATATTACATATTTTAACATATATTTTTTTCATATTTTTTAGATTTAATCTGATAAAGCTATTCTAATTGCATATAAAATTAATTGTTTTTTATAATTAAAATATATAAAAAAATAATTAACTTTATATATAATTAAAATAGCTTTATTAGATTAAATCTAAAAAATCTGAAAAAAATATATATTAAAATATGTGATATTATCTTTATTTTAATATAAAAATAAAA